AGTATCTACCACTTTTCGAGCCCTGATTGTTGCCTTGACAAGTTGCATTTGCTGGTCACCAACTGCAAGGGGGCCGACGAGACGGGTCACTTGGCACTTCGAAATATCCACAGGCAGCCCCAACACACATGGGAATGCTCCTGCTCAAACGAGGGCATTTTTTTTGGGAATGCGGCAGTCGGACTCAAACTGAAGTCAGCTCACCCTTACTTGGTTGACGTTGGAAGGGGAGCAAACAAATAAATTCCCACTAAACCACACTAAGCAAAAAGCTAAAATGTTTCCCAACGACAACCATGTCATGCACAGGTCAGAAAACGGAAACGAGCCAAGTCTGTCAGATTGGTCTCCCAAGCTCGAGGCTTCAAGTCGGAAGTTCGGCACCCAATGCGATTGGCATCCGAAACAGGAAGCATTGGCCAAGAAAATTAGTCGCGCACAACAAATCCCTCCAAAGGGATGAAGAGATCCCTGGTACTCTCAAACAACACACTTGCCTGGAGGACTATACAGGCTTGCAGGTAAGCACACTTGTGTAAGAGCTCATATCTCTGGCAGCGGACACAATATACGTAGCAAACATGGCGTTTGCACTCCAAGTACGTCACATGGGCGTTTGTTTTTCTTTTTTTTCGGTCACATGATTACATTCATTTTGATTGGCCCACGCATGACAGCACCGGTCTGGAGCAAATGGAGCGGCATACCTGCGCCATTGTCATACCTAGAAGTGAGCCATTGGTGCTTGTACAGGAAGTGCTTTTTTTTGGCAGCCACCACTATAAACAAAGACAACAATGAAAATAGAAAGGTTTGTAGCAAGCCGCGTTTCGGCGTTGGGAAAGCCACAGGAACCCTCTTTTACCTAAGAAGCCGCTTACCATTAGGCAAGAAACAAACAACAGTCATGGAACAGGGCGGTGCCAGGCAGCAACCCTGCAACCTGACTGACGATTTGTTCCATTGAACTCACCAGATGGACTGCCTTGGAATCTGGGAAGAAAAAAGAAACGACTGGCCCATCTATGACCCATCCTTTCAACCCAAACCCCATTTGGGCTGGGAAAAAAGAACACTTTTCCATTTATGGAACAAATGACTGACCCATCTCCTGTTGATTTCCTTTGGAGAAACGTACATTCTATGTGCCACTTGGCACCCATGGAACTCGCCCGTGGCTACCAAGCTCAAGCCAAAGCCGTCTTAGAAAGACTCAGCGACGCCCATGGCGCAAACATCACCTGGCTAGAATACCTGACATCCAAAAAAAGTCGAGAGGGGGACCAACACAAACTACTCCTGCAAAAACGATGGCCTAATGCTTCCCAAAACCAACACTCCGTTTCTTCGCTCATCCAAAAACTGGGGCCGCAAAAAACAAAAACGAGGGCCGCCAAAACCCGAATAATTACCCCCCCAAAGAAAACACACCCACTCCCCGTTTCTTCGCTCCGTCTCTCCAAAAATACCCGAAAGCGGGCCCCCCCGGGGCCCCGAAACCGAAACCGCTCGAGGGCGCCTTTCAGCATAGCGATCAGCCAGTCGTCGCTTCGAATCTGCTGGCCCCAGTCCCAGTCCATGGCGCTCATTTCCGACGCTCGACGACTCCGTCGCCTTTTTGGCGCGCGCGCGCGGAGGATGGGCTTTGGACCAAGCGCCAGGTGCCCACCATTTTTTTCCGGATTCTCTGGTCCATATGGGGGTTGTCCTCGCTGTTCGGCGACAATTGAAACTGAAGACTGGGGTTTTAGGACGGCCCTCATATGTAGGTGAACCTTTTAATTTGTAAACTAGGTTCAAAAGATAGTCCCATTTTTTTGATTTTCTGGTCCAGATTTTTTTAGGTGAACCGGGTTTAACGTAAACTAGGTTCAAAGGAGATCCCAGTTTTCGGTAGGGATGACCACCAGAATGTCGAAACGCTTGCTGGCTTCAAGGCTTGAGGCTGTTGTGAGATGATGAACCAAAATAGGCGACTTGAGCTTCGTGAACAAACACATGAGCCGGCATCTTTGGGTCTCATGCTGCCACTTGACTTGTTGCACATGGTCCACTGTGCCCTCCGTGCTTTGCAAAGCACAGCCATCATGTCTGGCTGATGCTAGTATCTCGCTGGAACTGCATGCAAGCTGCTTCTTTTGGGCGACTGAACACAAGGACTCCATGTTTACAAGCTTGCCCACTAGCCTTCCTGACAGGCTCGCCAATACTCCGATTTCCGCTTGAAACTATCATGAAACCTTCCATTTGCGTTTGCGCCCCCTAGAACAAATGAGGACATATTTCCAGTAGTGAAATCGATTCCCTTTAAAACCAGCAAGGTAAACTAAAACATACCATTTTCATCAAATGGATGAGTCCCTAAGCAAGTGTCCGGGTGTTGACATTCGATAAGGCTCCCTCCCAAAAAAATCCTGTGCCGTAACCTTCGGACATGAGGCGAGAAGCGAATGTTCACTAGAGCCTGATACGGGCCAGGCGACGGAAATTTTGACACACGCTTGACACGTGGGACTGCGTGAAAACTGCGAAGCCTGTTTTGCGGGTTGAAAGAATGTCTCAAGCTTTTGTAGGCCGTTCAGCGAGTTTTGACCCATGCACAAATCTGGAAGATTGAATAAAACCGGACAATACTTAAAATCCCTCATAGATTTCCAAGGATAATCACAAGGAAAAACCACCACATTGGGGATCCCCCAAACAAGGCACACCCATGCTGACATGTAGCTGCAAGTTGTGATTTGGAGAGTTCTATCAACCTGACCGGGGCTAGCTGGATCAAAATGATGGGTTTCCTCTTGGTTTCCCTTTAATCCAACCAGAAAACGGCACCTGCAAAACGGCTGCAAAGACGGTGACAGCACCTTTGCAGTGCACCTGAAGCCTTTTCAGTCCCGTCTCAATCAATTCCTCTCCGCAACTCATTTGTTAATTGGATGCCCCTTGCTTTTTCTTGTTTTTTTCTTGCACGCATTTGTCTTTTTCAAAGGGACACCAACAGGAAAACGCCTAATTGTCCATTTCGGGAGGCCCAGCCTCAAACAAAAAGAACGAGCCGCCCACGTGGCCTCTGGAAAGACTGGGCTCTGTGCCCAAAGACCGTCGCTTCCCAGCATCATGGCCGGGAACTGGCACGCCTGCCACTGGCCTGGCTTGATGCACCCCCGCAGGGATTTTGCGGTGTTCCAAATTTGATGTACCTGACTAAAACCCACCAAAAAGGAGGAGTAGCCCAAAACTACCCTCAAAAAAGGAAAGGAGCCGCACATACAACGCCCAAAGACTTTTCAAGCCTGGGAACCCTCCCAAATCACTTCCTCTAAACCCTCCCAAAGAAACTACCCCACGCAATCCTGAACCCGCAAGGCCCCGGTAATGGTATTCCAGTCGGGTTCCATGTGACTGGCACGGTGAGGGGTCCATGCCGTTGCGGCCCTAAACCGGTCACGGCCCTACACCTTTGCGACAACTGACGCCTCGCTTCGGGAAAAGTGAGCACTCAGACTGAGGCCTGTGATGTCGCAGATATCGGGCTCCGCGCTGACACCATACCTACAAACAGCTCCAGGCCTTTGTGAACCAGAATCTTCCAATGGGGATGCCAATTGCCTCCGTACTTGTAGCATTGCTGCAGTCATGATCTGATGTTGAAGTCTCCGAACAAAGCGAGCTCCTAGTTCTGTGCATGGCTCCGAAACAATGAGGATCCCGTTTGGATGGCATTGCAGGAGACACCACACGGAAACTGAGCATCTTTTGAGGGTTCCTGTTTTACTAGGTCTAGTGGAGAGCTTAGAATGAGGGTACCAACTTTTTTTCTGGTTTGTCTATAGTAGGGGAACCCTCCCCAAAAAAAGAAACGGTGAAAGGCCACCTAGCTGGGGGACCTTGTTTAGGATACATCCACACCTTCAAGCCTTCGCTTGGGGCAACACCATGGCACTAGATTTTCGGGGCACTTCTTGAGGCATCCGTCGCCCAATGATCTGGACATGGCAAGGCCAGGTACTCCGGTCCTTGGAAACTCCGGCACTCCGCACTCGAGCAGAGGAACGGACACGGCGAGTTGCCATAAGCAGAATCAGAGGGACAGCACGGCTCAAAGAAAAACAATGTTCCCGAAGGGATCCAAAGGGAACGTAAGGACTCTCCTTGAGCAGCGCCATAAACATCATGAAGGGCGGTGCTTGGCCTGGAAACTAGTGCCACACATGTTCGATTGCATTCATGCGTCGTGAGTGTTGTTGCTTTTTCGGAGGGGGGGGTTGTTCGCACCTTGGACCCTCAAAGCGGAAGCAGATCCTTCTTCCCAAAGAAACGGCTGCGCTAGAAGCATCCAGAGGATCCTTGCTGAAAAAGCGGGGGTTCCAGGCGTGGCAGCTCGTTGTTTCCTAGGTCCTCCAGTACAGAGGTTAGAATAAGGGTACCCTTTTTTTGCTGTAGTCTGTTTTAGTAGGGGAACCCTCCCCCAAAAAAGGGTGAGAAAGGGCACTACTGGGGGACATAGTTTCAACACATGCATGCTCTGACGCAACCATTCTGAGCCTGGAAGCCAAAACGTGAGCTTTCGCGATCATTCAGCAGCCCCTCTGCACTCAGCATCGGACTTGGGAATGAAGATGCGGCTGATGACCTCCCCATCATCATACCTGCTGGCCAGACGCGTGGCCAGATGCTCTACTCAAATTCCCAAACCGGAAATAAGGAACTCCACTAATGACTTTCAGGGGTGAGCTCGTTTTACTCTTAGCTGGTTACAATTTGCGCAGAGCGCATCACAGATGGCATCCCATAGCTTCACGATACCTTGCTTTGAGCGAACCAAGGGGGACTTTCCAATGATTCAATGCCAGTGTAAACCATCTATGTGCGTCTACGACTTACGCGTGGAAAACCGGTGATCGACAGAAAGCAGAAGAGCGTTTTGGACCTGACCCCACGTGGTAAAAGAAGGTGGGAAGTGGTTTCAAATCCTAGGCTGCTGGCCACCGTTTCTCTTGTTTGTACTGCTTGCGAACTACGCACAATCATAGGTGGCATTTTGGAAAAATCGATGGCCCTGGTAAATGGAACACAACACATCTAAACCCGTCTATTTTTGATCAAACTAATCTAAAAAGGACGCATTGTGCACAATTGTTGGATCTGCATTGCATCTCTGCTGAACAAAGGGCTTTGAGATTAATTCTCGGAGCTGGGCAAGGGCCTTCGAGGGAAACGAGGCTTTCTTTGAAAGCTTTCCACTACGCCTGTGCACGAGAATGCTAGCATTCCGTGCAACGAACGACAAGCCAGCAAACCAACAAGCAATCAAACAAACGCAACAACACAAACAACCGCCCGCCAGAAGGTCCTTTTACTAGACAGCTGCCAATAGAATGAGCGGCCACCAAAGGATGCTATCCAACGTTCTCAAAATGCCTTGCATCAATGAAGGCAGTCGCTCAGCGGAACCAAGCTTCGGGCAGTCTAATCCCTGGACCTTCCGGTTGCCTCTATACCCAAAGATGATCCTTTGGCCAAATCAAAAATCAAAAGGGATCTATCTGCCCGGTACGTTATAGCATGCGCCTTACGGATATACACTACATGTTAGCCTTGTGGGGATGGGATTGGGGTCTGCTTTGGCTTCAATGCCCCCCCATTGCAGCTTCAAGGATTGCTCGCACGATCAATAGACAAGTGCTATCTGTGGCAGGCGTGTGCGCGTGCACGCCTAAGCGGGCGTGCTCATCATTTGGCAAGTGTGTGCGCAGTGAACCGGTGCATTCAGGCGTGCTTTTCATTGGGCAAGCGTGTACGCAGTGAGCGGGTGCTTGAGTGGGTGCCCATGTTTGGCAGGTGCGGAAGACTGCGGCGTTCAGCCTCTCGCAGTGCCAAAGCCATATCCAAAGTAGACGGTCTCCTTCCGCACGCGCTCAACCCCTTGGGTGTGAACGATGCTTTTGCATGTTCACTTGGTTGGGTTCCGTGACAGGGGCTCAAACGATACAAATCAACTTAGTTGTGCGCGGCGCCCCATGGTCAGATGGAGCAAATCTGCTGGGCATTTTGCCATCCATGTACGGCTTTAAATGGCTTTCCCTCAACAGTTTAAGGTTAAGGATCCGCCAAATAGAAGTCAAGCAAACATTATGTGGGTGTGGGTGTTTGTTTTTGAGGCTGTCCGTTTTTGTTTCTAGCAGGAAAACCAACAGGGAAACCACCTTTTGGACCTTTTTCAGTAACTGAAAAAGGTGGTTTCCATTTGCAGTTGACCCCTGCAAAAAGTTCAAGTTATGGATCCAGTACAACCTCCCCTGTTTCCCAAAAAGTCCAATTATCCAAAGCTCCAAGCAAAAAATCGCCCTAAGGAAACCAACCAAAGAAACCAAACAAGCCACTTCCACCGCCCTTTTTGCCCCAGAAACCCCGCCAAAAACACGCCCGGCTCGGCACATCCGCCCCACATCGCCCGCCTCTTTTGGATGACCTGGGCTCCGGCCGCTTCCAGGCGCTGGTACTCCTGCGGATGGTGAGCCTGGCGAAACGCGTCGGGCTTCTTTCCCTTGCCATGGCGATGTTCGGTTTCTCAGTTGCCCAAACCTGGGAATAAAGGGTTCACCTTTTGGGGCCATGACTAAATATGGACCAAAACCGGAAAACCAAAAGGTCAAAAGGTCGGCTTTGGGCAACTGAGGTTTGGAGAAGTCCACTGTCCACTTGAAGGTTGGAACACAGGTGTGTTAGGAGGTATTTTCTGGGCCGTCCTCAGATCCCCTAACAGTTTAACTTTTAGTGGGTTGAATGGACACCCCCACTGAACACTAAGAGTCTAAAAGCCTAAGGACAGAACTGGGAACCGCCAAGCTATTGATTGGTTGGACTCCGTGGTCCTGTGGTGGGCATGATTCACATGACAATATGCCAGTATGCGCTTTCCACTTGGGGTCCTGTGGTGATCATTTACATGATCTCACTTGCTGAGTGGATGGCCCAAAAAAGTCCAAACTTTATATTTACCACTAAAATGGTCTTCCCAACAAGTTTAAAGTTCATGAACTCAGGAAGTGAGTACATGATAGTTTGCGCTTTCCACTTTTGAGGTGCATCCGCCTTGTACGATTTGTGGCCACTTCCGCCTTTAGGTTGCGATAAATTGCCCCAAAGCATCACCCCGCGATTTTCAGTTCCCTACATTTCCTCCTGAAAAAAGGTGAGGCTTAAAGCTACCTAGAAAAACATCGCAATTTTCAAGCCCATACCCGTCCCTTTTCGAGAATCACAGGCTTTCAGTACAAGTGTAGTAAGGCTGCAGCCTGAAGATCTGAACATGTACAGTACACCAAGCTCTAGCTCGAAAATTGCCACTGTTCTGCAAATGCACTCAGTGGATAAAGGCGTGCAAAACGAATTCTTCTTTGCACCACGTGAGCGTTTTCGTTCTTGCTTTGTTATCGTTTTTGTTCAGCTAACAAGTCTGGCCTACACCCAACAGCTGTGATTTCCCAGCTGACAAGGCGTTTCCCACGATCGTTGTCGTTCGGTCAGTACAACGGGGCAGGGTTTGGACACAAGAAACCTCCGAAGACTACAACTCGCATGGTGTCACAGAACCTTGCTTGCAAAGGCTTATGTCGGAAGCAACCCATTGCCGACTCGAGAACTCATGTAACATCTGTACTTGCAGCGCATGTGCTTTGGTGGGTGTTCGTGTTGCACTCTCCATTGCGGCGCGCACCATTGAGGAACACACCCACACACACACACACACACACCTGCAAAGCACCCGACACTCAAGGCTTGCATGCCATGTGTCAAAAGCCAGCTTTACTCAGGGTTGGTGGGGATAGTCATGTATTGAAAGGGAGCCATGACCCCAACTCCAGGCACTGGACGTCAGTTGCCCTGCTCGCCCCGCCTTGTGCTCGTCGGTGCAGTACACCGGCTGACCTCGGGCGCCGTAGCGAGGGTTTCCTTTACACCAAGAGAAAGGATGGCACGATTCTCGGTAAAGGGGATGACAAAACCAAAGCGGGGAAATGGCGCCATCTACTTTCAACCGGACAAAGGCCACACTTTTCGGACCATGAGGCTCACCAATCAATTTGATTTGGCCGGGGTATGCGACATGGGGACTCTCTAACAAACGGCAGGCGCACACACACACACACAGCACGGTCTGTCTATCCTTCCTGACCATAGAACATTTGAACGCGGCAACCCTGAAGGCCACGTAGACTGGTAGCATGGAGTTGTCCCTCGTTCAGTGCCCCCGTGCCCCAACCTTCGCCAGGCAAACCTTTACAGAGAGAGAAAGGGCGCACCCAGTAGGCTGTGTCAATTTTTGAACCTACCCCTTTTGGGTTGGAAACCAAAAGGAAACCAAAAGGAAAACCACCATTTTAGGGAGTCCAACTTTAAAAAGACACTCCCACTGTCAATCGAAGGCAGAAACCTGAGGTGCAAATCACTTCCACAACTCCTCCGAACGCGGGCATGGGATTTTGTAAGGTTAAATTGAACTCCAAGTCAAAGGTCCTGGCGAGGACTTAATTTTTCCCTAAATGTTGGCTGGCTTTCCTTTTCGTTTCCCTTGACACACGCCTGAAAGGGCACCCTCAGACACACACCCAACTTTGGGGTCGTTGACACAATAGGCAAAAAGTCGAGGTGATGGCGTCCACCTAGGCTCCAGCCCCTTCCATTCCTCAAACTGCATGCTGACCAGCCGTTTCTTCTCATTTCGAGTGCCCATGAGGGCAGCGCACAAACCACACCCAACAAGGGCGCCCTCGCAAAAACAACACACACACACACACACCTAAGTCAGGTAACCCATTTCAGGCAACCCTTAGTTGGTGATTTGGATTGGGTTGGGGATTTGACTGGGTTGGAGGATTCATGGAAAATCCCTTCACCACCAACGATTCGGAGTCAAGCCACCAAATAGAGGCAAGCTGCCCAATTCGTCTTTGAAGGCCCTCGTTGGTTGATGAATGCTCTATGCTGACTTCCCCAGAAAGTTGGACAGGGTTCCTTGTCCCCTTTAAGCATCACCCAACCAAAGAGAAACCCATTTGACCATCCCCGTTGCAGGTGCCAAAGTTGCCCCAGCCTGTCTCCATGTCGCCCACCACTAGCCTGGAGTCTCCCACCTAGCAAGAGCCATGCCAATCAGACGAACGACTCTCTGAAAATATGGGCATCCACTGGCATGACCTTGCTGGGAGCCATTGGATTTCTGATCAGCTACTTGACACACTGAGCAGCGAAAATCATGATTCAATTTTTTAAGGCTCCGAGTGTCTGCTTATGGAGTCATGACTAAGACTAGCGGGTCACACAGGCCACGTGACAGCCAGAGCGCCGGATTGAGGTGCGGACATAGGCACACCACACCGACTCTGCTCCTTCTTGAAAGCAGCACCTCATGTTACCGCTGTCAAGGGTCCCCTAATCCCAGTAGACAATGGGAGTCCCGGATTCATAAACTCCTTTTTCATTGATATGGGAGGTGTTCGTTTGCCACCCCCCAAGCTGGTCTGAATCCAGAGTAAAACCAGGCCCCCATAGTCCATGAACAGGTGTTTATCCATCCGGCCAAATTAGCACCCAATAGGGTCGAATAGGGTCAAATAGGAGACTCTTGACAACTACAACTCATGCGTGGTATGCAGCCGTGCAGTTTCCAGGCAAGCCTGATACCAGAGAAAAAAAAAGGACAAACAAATTGGCTGATACTTACGTCACTTTTGCTGAAGTGCTTTGCACTATATAGCATGGCTTCAAGGATTGAATCCGGCAAGGGTTTTCAAACAGGATTGCAGCCATGTTGAACCCTTCTGAGGCTGCAGCATGACGACTGTGGCTCCGCTATAAACCTGTGCGCGGCTCGTAACACCGTAATCTTCTGATGGCGAATAGCTTTTCCTGGCTGGTGCTTGGAAACACCCGATTTGCTTCTTGGCTCAGGTGCTCATCCCCGAACAACACTCACTTACACACGGTTGGACAAGCATGTACGATGTTACAATTGTTTTTGGACTAGGTGTCTCTCTAAGTGCATAATTTGCTGAGATGCCCAGTGGCCATGGGAAACAATGGCATCCTTTGTTGGTTGGTTGTGTGTAAAGGGGAACCCAACACCCCAAACAAAAGTCGAACACAGGGCGGAATCCACTGGTTACAAGTGGGTTCGGAACATAATGCTGCGAATGAGCACAGGGCTCGATCTAGCAGAATGGTCGATGCCCGTGGGCTGCAAGGATCCGTTTTTTGTTTAAGACACATGTGTGAGCTCAGGGGCAACTTTCCTTGCAAGGCCAATATGTTGCCTGAGATACGTGAACACACATGCACACATACAGAGATTACATTCAGCACTTTGCTTTACATTACATTAATACATTCGTACAGCACGGCCAGCACATTCTACACTGAGCTTGAGGCTGTGTCTGATCATCAGAGTAGGATGGAGCAGGACGGGGGCCGCCCGTCGGCAGTAAGGGATCTTCATTCCATAATTGACACAAACCAATTGCCCAAGGTGGCATCCCCAGCAGATGCGGATTCCCCTGAAACCCTCAGGAACCCTCCCTGGAAGCTTCGCCAAATCCCCCCCAAGAGACTCCACAGCTTTCGGTTGTTGGGGAAGGAACAAAAGCAATGCTGGCACATATTGCCCTCCCATCCAACATGGAACCTGACTGGAAGACACGTTTTGGCAAGTCGCCGCAGGGTTCCACCCCCGTGAGTCGGAACGCATCAGTGAAAAAACCGGGAACATGGGAAATGGGACGTCCAAAGCTTGGCCCACGTGACGACAAAAGGTGCTCCGTCAGGGGAAGAAAACGAGACCCTTGACCAACTGCGCCTTCACAAGTGGCTCAAGGGCCCCAAACAATCGTCCATAGCCTCTTGATTTCGCCAAGCCCATGGCAACAACCATCCTCAAATTTTGACCTTCTCCCCCTCTCCCCCGCCGGTCCAAAAAAGAACACACACAAAAAAAAAGGAGCCTTCCCGGTTCTTATCAAGAACATGGCGTTCCCCGTCTTTCTTTCCGCGACCCGCTGCGCGCTCCGCAGCGCGCTCCGCGACCCGTCGCCTGCATAGCGCCGAAGGACTCCTCGAGGTCGCTCTGGGCCGCCAGAAAGGCCCGGCGCAGGGCCTGGCCGACGCGTGAGCCGCTGCCGGGTTCTCGGTAAATGAGGAAACCCCAAAGCCTCTTTTTTTCGATAATTTCAATCACCGAGTTGTTGTTTTTTTTTTTTGGTGTGTACATATTTTGTAATTGTGTGTCCCCCCCCCCCCCCCCGGGGCTCCCACAGGTACAGTTGGTCAGATGCTGCGCGCAGTGTATGAAAACGCTAAGGCTTCTCCCACACCACCCCAAACCGCAAGTGAACCACTTCGCAAGGCTGCACGCAGTCGGAGTGGACGTTATATATGACATTACCGCCCCACCGCACCCCAGACATGCAGAATGCCTGATCCTGACTGTGCAGAAAACCCCACCACCCCCTCGCGGGGTTTTCCAAACACAACATGCACACACACACACACACAGCAAACAACAGCCGACAACAGCCGACAACAGCCGACAACAGCAACCAGCAACAAACGGCAGAAAGCAACAGCCGCAACCGCAAACGATAGCAAGCGGCGACAAGAAAGAACCGCCACCAACAGCAAACAGCCAACACCACATATCACTCATCGACGAGCGCACACACACACACACCACACACACACACACCACCCACCCACCCACCCACCCACCCACCCACCCACCCACCCACCCACCCACCCACCCACCCACCCACCCACCCACCCACCCACCCACCCACCCACCCACCCACCCACCCACCCACCCACCCACCCACACCCACCCACCACACACACACACACACACACACACACACACACACACCCACACCCACACACACACACACCCACACACGCACATAGGACACACATAGAACACACATAGAACACAAATAGAACACACATAGAACACACATAGAACACACACACACACCCACCCACCCACCCACCCACCCACCCACCCACCCACCCACCCACCCACCCACCCACCCACCCACCCACCCACCCACCCACCCACCCACCCACACACACACACACACACACACACCCACACACATAGAACACACATAGAACACACATAGAAAACACATAGAACGCACACACACACACACACCAATCTTCCAACCAAAGTAACCGGACGAGCCACCAGCCAGCCCCCCCTGTCATGTGAAATTGTGGATGGCTCCAGGGCTGCAGGCCTGGTTCCTTTGCTTGGAAGGTGCCGTGCATGTGCGAACACTAAAAACAGAAATATATGTCCAGTGATTTGGAAGATTACCTGCACAACGAACAGGGAAAGACAAAACTGTAAACTTACGCAACAGAACACCTATTGATGGCCCGCCTCCTCAACGCCATCAGCAAGGTGCATGGAGAAGAACAGGGGGAGCACTCGCGAAACCCGCTCGGCAATCACCTACTGGCGGTTTCGCTGGACCAGTGGTTGGTGTCAAAATGTGAAGGTGAGCAGTGGATAACTAGAGCTCCAGTGCCAGTGCTTTTGTCACAAATTGGCATGGTCCAAGACCAATTGAATGTCATTCAAGTTGAACTGTGTGAGTTATTCACGCTGACAGGTCTGGTTCTTGCCTTAGTGGCTCTGGCCTTTTAGTGCTACCTAGCCTAGCAGTCGTTTGTTTGCTTGCACTTCTTGGGGGAGGTGTCCCACATTGCGGGTATCGATCGTGCAGTGAGAATGAACACCCATGGCTGGAAATCGGAGGCTGCATAAGGGCAATGCTGAAATGAGACAGGACTCAAAACCAACCCGACTAATTCAACTAAAGCAAAAGCAGCCTCAGTGAATTGTCCCCTCTCGATTGGCAAGCAACAAAGTTGCGTTGCTTAGTCAACCCGTCAGTGGATCCATTTACCTGTATGGTAACCAATGGCTTGCCACCCTAAAAAACGAAAAGTAAAACAAATCCAAGGGTTGGCTACAAGTGTAACCGGGATCCACGTAGACTTAATCCGTCCAAAGAATCCTTGCCTTTTGGCGTCTTTCTGGGTGACTTTTTGGAATTTGAGGAGGCATATGGAATGCTGTGAGCACTCTCAAAATGGTTGGTTCCAAAGATCTGCACATAAATGGTTGGTTCCAAACTTCGTTGAACAACTTGAATTTGGATCCAAGTGAAGAGTACCTACATGATTCTTTCTTTTCGTTTTTCCACCGGATTGAGCTCACATTGGCAGATATTCGTCTCCAGGAACACGTTGAAGAAATCTCAAAGGGGACTCCCCAAGTCCCAAATTCTCAGATACATCCCCAGGACCACGGGGAAATCTAAGAAAGGAGCACCCCAAGTCCCATGACCTTTGCCTCCCCGTGCTCGCCATGGCCGTCGCAGGCGATGCCTCAGCTTTTCAGACTTAGACCCTCGGCTTCGCTTTGTTTTTCCGGAAACCAAGCACAGGGGACAACTTTTTTGGGCTGTCTCAAATAGGAGATGACCCAAGCTGAGTATTCGTTTGTTGTTTCAAGCCCAAATCTTCAAAACACGGAGGACCACCAACTCCAACACTCAACGAAATGCGGCCACCAACTCACTGACTCTTCTGCAGAAAAGAGGAAGCTGCCCGCACGTACACAGAGCTTTTTTTGTTGAACATCGCCCAAGACACGCGATTTAGAATGGTTTTCCGCCGCCCCATGAGGTCTGGATTGGGGAGAAACACTCAAATTTGTACTTGGGCTCCAACCGACTTCTGCGACAGACTCTGAGCTTCTGGCAAATGACCCAGCCATGCAGGGTTGTAAACGAATAGGCGTCCTGCACAGAACTGCAGATCCAGCTAGTAACGTTTTTGGTCGGATCGGACTAGTGAGGCATTTCCACATTGCCTCTACAGATGTGTGTCTGTGTGTGCGTCTGCGTGTCTCTGAGGGCACCCTTTTGAGGTTGGTCTAGAGGGAAGTCAAAAGGACACCCACCATATCTTGGGACCCCCAATCGACAAGCTGACAGCAAGATACCTAAACTCATTGACTTGCTTTTGACCTTCCTATGTGAATTCACAAGCCGAACGGCCGGGTTTCCAGGCCCAGAATGGATCTTGTCTGCTTCTTCAATGATGGGATTCTGAATCTGACACCTGGTGAAAAGATCCCATGCCTCCTTCCTTTTGCTAGTGGCAGTACCTGGCTGCAAACAGGAATCGCTCACCTGAATGGTTTTTGGTTGGCTGTTAAACTACACGCCAACGTGGGAAAGCATGCAGGCATGCAGCAGCAAAGCATCGCTGAGCCATGAATTTGCACCTGCGCTCCCACACAGACTGTCTGCATCCGAATCGGCACACAGAAACACAAACAAACGAACAAAGGTTGAAAACAAGCAAGCAAGGAAGCAAGCAAGCGAGCAAGACAGCAAGAAAGAAACAAACATCGAAACCAAACCAAGCCAAACCAACAAAGAAGCAAGAAACAACTAAACAAACAAACAAACGTCAAACAACCAAACAACCAACCCCCCCCCCCCCCAAACAAAAAACAATCAAACAACCAAACAAGCAAACAAACAAACAATCAAACAAGCAAACAAACAAACAACCCCCCCCCCCCAAAAAAAAAACAAACAATCAACAACCAAGCAAACAAACCAACAAACCAACAAACAAACAAACAAACAAACAAGCAAACCAATCGATCAAACAAACTACCAACCAGACAAACCACAAACACACAAACTCAAAACAAGCAAACAATCAATCAACCCCGCAAACAAAGGAAACAAGCACACAAACAAGCAAACACCCAACTAACCAAACAGACACACAAACACACAACCGAACAATCAAGCAGGCAAACAGACGAACACACGCAAGACACACAAAGAACCCCCCCACTCCGAAGATTGGAACAAGCGAGCAGCTCTGCACAACAATCTCTGGAAAGGCATCCTAGATTGTGCAACTTCGATGATGCAAGACGTTTCCATCTTGAGTCGGCTCGCCGTGTGTCCTGGTTTGGGACGCCGCTGGACTTCATTCCTGCAGTTGCACGTAGGCTCCGATGTGCCAGAAGTTGGAGTCTATTCATGTGAGGTTCCAGTAGTCTGGTGGCTGCTATCATCAAGGGCAGTTTTGGGTATGAGTTTTCCAGGTGAAGGTTATATACTACTTTGATAAGTGATACACATATACATATCAGACCTCTCATATATATATATATATATATTATGTATAGTGCATTAACAGCAGATATTGGTGCTATATAAGCATCTACACCTCCAACACCCGAGTAAATTCCATACACGCGAGCTCAACCGGACTTACACATCCTTAGGAATCTGAAGTTGAGCGACATACATTTTGATAACACAGAATCGTGGATTGTAGGAACACCATGTCGCACAGAATCATGTGTTAGTTTGCTGGCCGCTGTGCTTTCTAACAGCATGCAAGCTATAGCAGCAGAAGCGCATGGTTGGAAAAGCGGTGTTTGCAGGGTTCGTTCACATGACTCACGCAACTGCCTGCAGGGGCTGAAACAAGCCCGAGCCATTCGGCCCAGTCGATCACGACCATCTTGCCCTACTACATGCCATAATGTTGGACATAGTTGGACATGCCTTTATAAGCGCAGCATCTATGATAGAAAGTGCCTTTGAAGATTCAAGATCCTGGGACTGCTTAAGGATGTTTAATCATGGACAGTTTGTTTCGCGAGAGAAACAAACTAAAAAACAGAAAGCACATATCAAAGCTGTGGCGTTTCACTATTAAAAGGTGGATTATCGAGGTTTCTCCCAGCTGAAACAAAGGCTAAGGCTGTAGATCTGGCACATTCAATTTGCAAGTGGTTCCCAAAACATTGCTTTTAAGATACGTCCTTGGATTGAAAAAGCAACAACAAGCTGCAACAGTCATAATTACGAAAGAGGGCTACCCACAAGAGCCTTGGATCCTGTTTCATCCGACTGTTTTGGGGGCTTCTTTCATTTCAAGCCTTTTTGGGGCGGGGACGATGATGAAATACTCAATCTAGAATTGAACATACTAAATTAAGCAGGATGAATTTGCGATCAAAGCTTGGCAATGCCAAATGTAGAATTGGCAAGACTAAGATAAGTAGAGGGAATCTGAGAGTACATCTTGGCAATACCAAATTTAGAACTTGGCAATGCTAAATTGAGTATTGGCGAGCCCAAGTCCAACTCAGACCCCCCTTTCCCACCGAAGAGGGTCGTAGTGACTGTTGGCACTGCTCGGGGGTGGGATGACACTAAAGAATGTTCACCATTATATGGAACACAAACAAAGCCAGTCCTGTTGCGCATGTTTGTATGCCAGGCTACTGCGGCCCACATTTAGGCTGCAAAAAGAGAAACCAAAAAGGAAACCCAACCTACTTGGGGGAAATATGCGTTTCGGCTCCCCGACTTATTCGGTATCTTGGGGCTCCCGCCGCTTGTGGAGACGAAGTGGGCCTCGGGCGCAGCTTCCATAAATGGGTTTCACCTTTGGGCTGTTTTGGGCCCATGGTAGGTAACGTGTTTGGGGGGGCCCGTTTAGGGACCTCTGACATCAGACCAAGGACCAAGGACCAAGTGGTTGTCCAAACTTGTACTTGTGGGAACGCCCGACTTAGGTCGTCCTTTGGTTGCCCTGTAAACTGTAAAATGGCTCCAATAGAGGTTCCTTCCTCACAGGCACGCACCCAACAAGTCGCACGAGAAGTTCCACTGCGTGCTACCGAAGAGGCGGTTTGGGGTGGGGAGAAATGTTAACGTATTCTCTCGCTGCAAACTCAACACCAAACTGACGCGATACATCAAAGATCTTGGCAGCACAGGGCCATCTCTGGTAAGTTGTTTTTCCATTTAATCGTTGAAGTCAGCAATGAAGAAGAGTGGCCACTGAGAACGTGTTTACTGCATCGTGCTTCACAAGGTTTAGCCCCTCTGGCTATTGCACTTTCCAGTTGGCCGACGACTCGCGAAATCACGAGGCATGGGAAAAAAACCACGACCCCTCGATACTCTGTGCTTGGAATCGGCCCCTGAACCATGCAAACATGACGTGCCAGGCAGGGTAACGAGTCGGCGTTGAATCCGCGCGGAATAATCTATCTGAACACACCCCAATCAAAAGTAGGAAAACAGATCAAAGACTCTGTTGTGATTTGGATCAACCAAAGATGGCCCAAACAGAAGCCAAAAAAATGGTTTACCACTAGACTGGTCCACCCCAAAAAGTTCAAAGTTCCAAGAACTCAGGAAGTGAGACCCGGAATCACACAGCCCGAATCCGCGGCTGCGAGAATCCGCTGAGGCCAAGTCTAACCATCCCGGAGCCTCCAGCCCGGCGCCTGGGAGGCCAAGCTCGCTTGCGAGGTGGATGGGCAAAAACAAGTCGCCAAACTTTTCACGAAACCCCCATGAAACATGGTCCACCTGGAGTCTCCATGCCCCTTGAAAACTGGTTGGTCAGTACCCAAAATCATGGAGTCATTGACCCATTTTGATTCGACTCTAGGCAGCCCCAAATTTTGTGACGAAAGTCCGAAACGGCACTCTGGAAGTGAGTATACGACTGGCGAGAACATAGAAACTTGATTGCTTTTGTCCCGTCCAAATGGCCTCGAATCCGCTTCCGCAGCTTCTTCTTCACCGAAACGCGGGTGAACCAGGGCATAGGTCAAAGGAAAAGAAACCGAAAAGACAGACAACTCAGTTGAGCCAAGGACCCTGGAACTAAATGGTTCACGCTTTTGGGGGCCACTAAATATGGAGCATGGGAAAACCAAAAGGTCAGATCCAGTCGATTCACTTGGAACAGGCCCAGGACGGCTCCCAAACCCCGTGGGTTTTCCGATTCCAAGTAGGTCGTTCGGTACTCCTTGTTGGTTTTACAGGGAAACCAAAGCGAACACCACAAAATGTTTGGGGCCCGCGAAAGGAAAAGACACCCAACATAAAATAAATGAACTGGCTCGAGCGCCTTTTCTCAATCTCGTACCACCTTTCGTGGCTGAAAGGGACACGAAAGTAATACCGAAATCTGGTGGTCCAACCCCCCAAAAAAGGCAACACCACACTCATCTACCTAGAGTCTCCTTCTGACCTTTATTTTGGGACAATGCTCCAACCATTTTTTAAGGGTCAGAAGGAGACTGGTAGAAGATTCCCAAACAAACTCCCCATTCGGGGGTCCAACCTTAAAGAGACAAGCCCATGAAGAACCCCCTGAGGTCACCGCCGAAGTGCCGCACTGAGGAGGCGGTGTAGGGCTCTACTGAGGCCCTGTGCCGAAATCCATGGTCCATGTAGCCATCCGCAGGCATACATGATTTACTAAGTCAAAACATGCAAAAGCATAAGTAAATGAGCAAGTAAATAACTACAATACTAATAACAATAGTGACCAGTGACAATAGTAACAACCATGATCATACATCTAACACACACACACACTCTACAGTTTTGCTCTCACATTGGGAAGCTCGAAACATAAGGGACGGAAATTCGCTGGGACCAAGAAAAGTAACTCAGCGTCCAGCTATCCGGAGCCAGCTCTGAGCTTGAAAGCAAACGTGGAATGCGCCAATCCGGTTTAAGGCACCAGAATGAGCCACACGGGTTTGTTTTAATGGGACACTGAAAGGACATCTGCAGGTTTTTTTTGGGGGGGAGGGAAACAATGACAGACCCACAACGTTGGCAAGCGTTTGCCAAGACGGTTTGCCATGTGGCCCCTCAACCACGAAACCCCGTAGTTGTGTCAACATCTCCTCCTTGCCCCCCCCAAACAAAGAACAAGAAAGCGGCTGCCCTGGAAAGAACCTGGAAGGGCACCCTCAACAAATGGGTGTGCCCGCCTTTGGTTTCTCTCTTCGGTTCAACGCCACAAGCAAGGGGTCCCCTCAACCAAAAGCTCCAGATCCCCAAAAATCCCCAGCACGCAGCGCGCCCGTGGGCCGCGGAGAACGCGGAGGCGACGCCAGGCCTGGTGAAGGCGTGGCCTCGCACGGACGCTCCACTCGCCCAGGCCTCGAGGTCCTTTGCCGGTGCGAGAGATGGGCTCCGATGGGCCCTGAGACGCGGAGGCCGACCCCAAGAAGAGAAAAAAACATCCAGCTGGGGAACAAAAAGCGTCATTTGTTCGGGAAAAACCACCCACCGGGTGAAATAGATTCCCTTTCTTCCCGTCCAACTGGCGAAAGACGTTTCCTTTCAATTCGGGAATCTTGGTGCCATGCCACATTCCCTACTGAGCTGAGTTCGAAATCGTCGGTACCCGTTTTGGTCATTGGTCAGGGACACGCCAATGGAAACCAACGGATTTGTGCGTTTTTGGGTTGCGCGTTTTGGTTGCTATGAAAGCAAAACCCCAAAAAACCCGCCGGCTCATTGGGAGGGGGCCTCTCCTTCTGCTGGATCAAACAAGAGCAATCGCAACACGGTAAACACCCAAGCACACAAAAAAAAAAACACTCCAACTAGCTCCAACTCAGGACAGTCAAACACTTGCAAACATATGTATATTATAGAAATATATATATATATATATGCATAGCATATATGTTTATGTTTTTAGATACATATATCGTATATGACATACACTATTTGATATACACCGGCTACATGCACATGGCCGTTGCATTTACATGCCCAAGATCTCCTTGTTGGTGACTCGCAAGGGCGCCGAAGACTCCACACCTGAGCCCATGGCTCAAGGTTCTGGGAGTGACTCGCCGGGCAACTCAGCCTGAGCCTACAAGCCAAGGAGTACCTGCGGAAATTCAAAACCAGCTAGGCCTTGTTGCGGGAAATATGAAATTACGGCCAGGGGTCGAAATCCCGTAACCAGTGAACATCCAAATCCCCATTAAAATAGGTTCGAACATGTGTGGTGAATTCACCAATCCCAACCAAAATGGGGAATCCCAAAACGGTCAAATAACAACCACAGCCACATGCCAATTTTGCCGTTCCCCAACCCCGGAAGGGCGTCGCAGCGTCGCTCGGCGACTCGGCGACTCCGCAAGCCGGCGCCCCGTTCCCAGCCTTCAGAGAGCGTCCTCACAAAAGGTGCAGGTGGAGAGCCTCGGACGAATTTTCCGAAGCGCTGCAGTGGCCTGGAAAACCATGGCTCCCAGCTTTCTGCGTTTAGGATGATTCTTTGGAAACACCACCAACCAACACACAAAACACACTGCCAACAGCAGCTTTGGGAGCATTAAAAAAAAAAACGCGCTCCCAACATGTACATGGTACCCCCCCCCCCCGAGAAAAGGAAAAAAAAACACATAAAAGCAAAAATCCTCGTCGGAAGTTAGGGCCCTCGCATGGCCGCCGCAGGAAAGCGAAGCCGCCGGAGGGGGCCTTTGGGTTGCGGATCTGTGGTTCTTCTCCCTTGGCCAAGTTGGAATCTACTGATGGACGCAATCCATTTCGCACCACTTTGAAACCCTAAGGCAAACTGTTGGTCTTTACAGGAAAATCGTCATTGCAGGGTTTCTTAGGTGGTGCAGGATTTCGACCATCCACAGTATCACTGCTGGATTGTTGCTTTTTTTCCCCAGA